TAATCAAAATTCCATTCAAGCTAAATGTCACTGAGCATTTCTGTGCGTTGATTAATGAATGAATTCTGATTAGATTTTATTTCCTCTTTTCCATCTTTACGGAACAAATGAGGGAGTTTCCCTTTCCCCAGAACAATGTTCTTTCGGCACCCGGCTGAAAGCCTCTTAATTAAACACAGAGACTTGATTGAATTTGTTGAGATTGCACAACAGTGAGGTGTTACTGAAAACGCTTGTAAACCAAATCAGAGTGAACACAGGGGTCTTTGTGACGAGTGTGATTGTAATAAGATGAAGAGCTCCATTTGGATCAATGCTGTTATCTCTCTTTTTTAGAGATAATTTGATAGATTCTTTTTTTTTTCTCCATGAAACTGTTGAGGGTCGGGGGGTGGGGAGGGGGGATGTGGCAGATGGAAACTGTACATGATATTTAGAAATGAGGAAGTAATGAGCTGTTAATCAGCTGTGAATAATAACTGATGTGGTGAAGAATGAGCGATAACGACTGGTTACTTCTGAGGATACTGAACTGTAAAAGTGGCCAGTTGTGCACGTTTGAATTAAAAGATGTTGCCCACCATCGTTCTGCAAAAGTTCAGAAACTTTAGATGTAGGGGGGGGGAAGACAGTTTAAACAAACACAGTGCTTATTGGTGATGCAGACTATGAGCCACACAAAATCTGACAGCCTAAGCAAAATGAATGTGTTGTGAAATCTCCGTCATCCATGGTTCAGAGTACACTGCAGGCTGCAACTACAGGCCAAAATCACATCCAGTACATAAAGGTCAGATATTAGATTAATCTGTTCACCTTAAAGTGACTCCTAACATGTCTTTTTAAATAATAATTAAATCATATAATATATATATATATATATATATTATATATATATTATATAATATATTTATAATATATATATATATATATATATATATATATATAATATATATAATATATATGTATATATATATATATATATAAAAGAATCGTGAAAGACTTCTTTAATGAATGATTGATGATATGTGACGCATGGATGAGATTCCCAGCAAATAAAATCTGTCCTGATCCAAAAGGCCACAGTCAAGCACAGCTCATAAACACAAATGGTGTTATCAATTCCACTTGTGTTAAATACTAATTTCAATCTTACCAATATAATAATTGCTCAGATTCATTCATAACTAATAGATAGCATGTTTCCTGTATGTTGTTTATGTTAAACTATTGTAAGTCTAACTTTGGGTGTTTGGATTGAGCCTGATGAGTGTTCATTATATATATATATATATATATATATTATATATACATATATATATAATATATATATATATATATATATATATATATATATATATATATATATATATATATATATATATATATATATAGATACGATATAGATATAGATATAGATATATAGATAGATAATAGATATATAGATATATATAGATATAGATATAGATATAGATAGATATATGTATGTGTGTGTGTGTGTATAGATAGATAGATAGATAGATACATACATACATACATACATACATACATACATACATACATACATACATACATATATAGTTAGATATAGATATATATAGGGATTTAGAGATGTGTGCCACACATTTAAAATGGCTTATAAAAACGTATTATTAATTTTGTTTAATTATTATAGATATAAAACTGTGTGGATTTGCACTCAAATGCATCTCAATTTAGGTTGTGTGAAAATGTTCATTTGTGATCAGCATAAATGTAAAAACGTGAACTTTTATAAGAGTTTCCCGAAGTCTATATAATTTTATATCTTTATAAACTACCAGAAATTGTACGTTAAATGTGTAAATATGAGTAAAAACATATATTCTTGTTCATGGTGTTAATGTTTTAAAATTCAGTTACCCTTTCTTTAAAATCACAATCTGCCCCTTTACAACCGCGTAAAAGTAACAAAATGGAGCCAAAATCGATGTTGACCATTAATAATTAATGCACGTTTTTATATTTTTTAGTTTCGCCAATTAACTCTTATTAATTCCAACTTTTATCTCTAAATTAAACAAATAATTGTGTTCTCCCTTTTGTAATCTATTTCATTTGTGCGTTTTCCTTCTTAAAATATTGAAACACTGTATTTGTGTAAAAGTGTATTTTATTTTCTCACCTATGTTGGGGTGTCTTGTTGTCCCAGGAGGAGCGCCAGTTTGGAGACCGTGGAGAACCGGACTGTCGAAGGGGGACGCCGGCCACGTTCCGCCCACGTTAGGGCTCATGTAGGCCGAATAAGGGCTGTGATACGACCCGCTCAGACTGCGAGCGCTGTAGTGATCCCTACCGTTAGCGGAGATGTTCAGCGGGCTTGTGTAAGAAACTGCCGTCTCCCGGGCCGTGGCCATCCCGGAGGACAGAGGCGGGCTGGTGGAGAAAGTGAAGCGCGGAGACACCGGGGAGTGGTTGTATGAGGGCACCGAGTCTGCCCCCGGCTGTGCCCACGCAGAGTGGCTCGACGCCGGGCTGCTCTGCTGCGACGCACCGGGTGCCTGAAGGTAAGGAAGCGCAGGAATCATGGGTGTGACGACCCGGGTGGTGGGGACATAAACCGGAGAGGTGCCCGCCGAGGCGTTATGAAGAAATCCGGCCTCGTATGAAGAGGGTCCGTGGTTGCTTGTCATTATGCCCTGGTACATATCCTCACCTTGAAGCTGGACATCCGCGTCGGTAGAAGGTATGAAGGCTGTGTGGATGCGGTTACGCACGGAACTACTGCGTGTTACCGCAAAACATCTGGTTTAAAGCAGCTCGCGAAGCTGGCTTAAGTCAGGCTACTTGTTCAGATCTGATCAAGTCAAGCAAAACAGCGCAACACTCAGAGAAGTGAAAATAAACGCATTAGTGGACACACAAGAGAGGAGGAGGAGGAGTGACAGACCCTGTGATCAAGATCCAGCTGTCATTATCTCTCTCTCTCTCTCTCTCTCTCTCTCTCTCTCTCTCTCTCTCTCTCTCTCTTTTTGCCAAAAAAAAATCCAAACATTTTTTCTAATGACGTTTCCAAAACTGCACAGTATTTATTTCATGGATCACATGGATTTGGCGAAGGCCGAGCACTTTTTGGGGGTCTATTTTCTTTCTGACCTATTATCTTTTGTTTAGAGGTGATTTTTTTTTTTAAATGTTGCTGTTTTTAAATGTTGCATTTTAATGTAATAAAAACATAAATATAAATAAAGACTTTCAAGTCTCCAAGGGAGTTGGAGTCTCGCTGCTTCACGTGGATCTTATTGGAGTCTAGCGGTTTCTTTTTCTGTCCTTATCGATTTTAAAACATCGCTATAAAATCATTTTAGCGCTAGCACAAAATATCCAAATACTTTTTTTATTAAATTAAAACCTGGCTGAACTCATTGAACGCCGCTTTTTTTAATTGCTGTTTTATTATTTATTTTTCGCTTATCTGAAATGAAGAATCTGGAATCTAAAGATCTAAACTTTGTGTTTGTTTGTTTTTTTAATGTTTTTTAAATCTATCAGATTTCAATTCTCGATTTTAGTCTTCTTTTTTGTTCTGTAATTATTCTGTGTGCTTTGACTTATATATTTTATAGGCTATTATTAAATATTTTTTACATCTGATAATTTCTCTCTCTCGCTCTCTATAAAATAAAATAAAATAAAATAAAATAAAATAAAATAAAATAAAATAAAATAAAATAAAATAAAACTGGAGGCAGAGATATTGGTGTTATTGTTCTAATAATGTGTTATAATTACGGTTAGCAACTTTCTTTCTGGTAATTCGAAGCGTCTTTTTTTTAAGGTTAATATCCGTTATTTACGACAGTTAAAAGTGCACATGCATCAGGCTATAACCTGTTGGAGGACGCATAGATGTACTTAGATGCGGAGGGATATTGCCTGTAAATAAATGAGCTGTGACCTGCAGGGGTCCCACGGGCCATTTATTCATTCGTGTTTTCGTCACAGCACTTCTCCACAGCCAGAAATGATTTTTCTTTTGCTGTGTGTTTTCATATTATTATTATTTTTGTTTTGACAAAATGAAGAATTGCGCTACTTTAGTCGGAAGTGTCCGGCGGCTGTTGTCCTCTCCAGGACAGATTTATACCTGTCATCAACACCAGTAAACCTAAACACACGAGGCCATTTCATTGTGCAGCCACTTCCCACTGACATCCCTCTCATGAATTATGTACTTCTGCAGTGTTGTGTGTGTGTGTGTGTGTGTGTGTGTGTGTGTGTGTGTGTGTGTGTGTGTGTGTGTTTGAAGAGACCAGGGATTCTGCTGTATGATGTGTAGTTTAAGCAATTATTAACTGTGGTTATTCATAATAATTCATGATGAATGAACCAATAAAACTATCTGTTTGGTATGCAAATCAGTGCTTATTCTTAGAATTAATTGGCCCCGCTGTAATGAATTGAAAATACCCTATTAATATTCATGAGAACAAAATCAATCTATCAGTCTGTGCATAAAGCATGAATAATAACCTCTAACCTTCGTACTTTAGTATCGATTCCCCCCCTTTTTCTTGAACAAAGTCAAGGCAAACAGTGCAATATTGCCTGAGTGGAAACGGGCAACTGTCATCAATGTGTAACCATAGGCTGATAACAGAGCCACCAATTGCTGGCTAATAATATCTGGGCGTGGGTCTGTTAACCTGAGAAAGCATAAAGTAGCGGCAAAGTCGATTCATGAAAGAGACGCTTCGAGTTTTACACCTCCAGTTACAGCGTGGAAGTTCGTTTTGTGAAGCGAAATTTCTCCGTTCGCGTGTTTCGAGCAGGAGAAGAAGAAAGTGGAAAATGTCTGACGGTTGGTTGGCGGGGGAAAAAAAACGCAAAAAAATATGTTGGTATCGTTCTTCTTTAAAGCTGCTTCCAGCAGCAGCATAATCAGGCAAAATGTGAGGTAAAAAGTTTAGAAAAATACCGAAAAAGCGGCCTTCATTCTTTTTCTGCTGTTATTGGAGAGTACAGTGTGTGTTTTGATTGGTGTGTTTGCATATGCCAAGCTGAAGCACTGACAGTGACAGAGGCCAGAGCTCGTGTAAACTGTGCGTGTGTGTGTTTATAACAATGATTCTGTGCAACCGTGTGTTTCCCAGTGTGTGTTCGCTGTCAGTGTGTATGAATGAAGAGGTGTTGGGTGAGGGACTAGATAGAGATGCTGGTATGTGTTGGACAGCAGCAGACTGTTGCTGAGGAAGGTGTGTGTGTGTGTGTGTGTGTGTGTGTGTGTGTGTGTGTGTGTGTGTGTGTGTGTGTGTGTGTGTGTGTGTGTGAGTGTGTGTGTGTGTCTGAACCAGGCACCAGGAAAAGTGTCCCCGTCTTGGCTGGGGCCACGACTCAATCATTCGGGGGTCGGTGACTTATTTTGGCCCTTCTTCCTCACACACACAAACACGCACACACACACAGACACACACACCGAGGGTATGGTAGACTTCTGGCTCCAGGAAGAACACTTCAAATGGAAAGGCAGGAAAACACAGGAGGAGGAACGATATGAGGCCAGTGAAACGCACACAGAGACGTCACTCAGCTCAAATTCTCGGTATTCCTCATGGGCATTTTGGTTAGCAAAAAACGTCTTCTTCTTTTTGTTTGTCAGAAGGGCTTTCATCTGTTCAGCATCTGCTCCTGAAGACGTCAGCTGTTTGTCTTGTTTTATCTGATGCACAGTAATGAGATAACAATAATGATGACAGCGCAGATCAATAGAGGTTTAGGTCTACCTTTGCTGTCACTTGAGAAACCCTCATGTTGCCTCCAAAGTTTAAATTTAACAAGTGTCTCCAGGAAGAAAACAATTCAGAATTTTTTTTTCCCAGCGTTGGCTTTTTGAATGCAGTGTAGCCTGTAATTAATTGTGATCGGGACTCATCCTCACCAGCGGCGTTTTTGTTTGGACAGAAAATGTGGGAGGCATTATCCTTCTTTCTTTCTTTTGCCGATTATTTATGGGTATGGCTATGAATTTTTGTAACTGCAGAATCCTCCAAACCAAACAACCAAACTGACATGAAAGCTCCGCTCTCTCCAACGTCTTCCACCTCCTCCCACAGCTCATCATCTGCAAACAGAACATTTTTTATGATATTTGCGTAGTTCAAATGTTTTTCATGTTTTGCGTTTTTGTGTATTATTCAAATTCATATCTGGGTATCGTCACATCGCTTGCTTTTGTTTCTACTTTCCGTTATGGTCATTGTCATGTGCATTGTAAGGCAAATCCCTTGCACTACTGTAGGTGTAAACTTGGCAGTAAAACATATTCAGATTGATTCAATGTCACACTGAAAGATCAAAACTGGATTTTTGGAATATTTGTGGTGTTTTTACTGATGCCTCCAGTAGAATAAACTCACACATATGTGTCTAATGCCACATGCAAATCACAGTTTTAGTGAAAATGTTCCATTTCTTTAGTATGTTAAGCTTTTTGTCAGCGTTTTAAAACAGTATAATGTGATAAAAACACACACAAACGCTCAGTCAACATTTTTCTATCATATTTACTGCTTATTTTTATGAACGAGTGCAATTTCCTTGTGCAGTCATTCTTGTAAGTGTGTAAATGTCCAAGTGTGTGCGTTCAAGTGTTAATCTAAGGTGTCTGTGTTGTTCTTGTGGATTAAGTGTGTTTGCACAGGTAAGGTCAGAGAGTCACTCTGGGGAGACACAAGTTTTCCCAGCGGGACACCTGGGCTTCAGCAACGCAGTCGTTTTTCTCTCTCTCTCTCTCTCTCTCTCTCTCTCACACACACACACACACACACACACACACACACACACACACACGCACATTCTCGCACCATCTATGAGGAGTGTGTTTTGGAATAAATTATTAACTCCTTGCAGGTTCTCATATGTGTGACAGACTTGAGTGCTGAATTGGACTCTTGATTCACGTAGCTTGAAGAGCAGCGCAAACACGTCGCACAACACTCAATTATGCATGATAAGAATTCAATTATCAAAACGCTCTTTTGTCCCAATGACTTCCACTGTTTGTAAAACTACTTCACCAGCAGAGGTTTGATCGTTGCTCTGATGCTTATGCACCTACTTGAAATTCTGCTCCTTGGGGTTATAGCCTGCTGTTGAAGCTATAGATCAATTCTTTAAGCAATCGCATCCAAAACAGACAGTTAACTTCTGTTAGCCATCACAAAAAACATAGTGGGGTGCCCTGTGTCACTGAGAGTGTGCATGCAAGCATTAGCAAGTGTATTTTTAGCAGTGAAGACCAAGGGATCCCAGGACCTCTCCCTGTGATAAGCAGTGGCCAAAGTCCGCTGGCTAGCAAAGGCCTAAAGAGCAAATAGGGAACACACACGCACACACAATGTTTAATACACTCATACGTGGGGCTTAGTTGCAGTGTGATGTTGCAGGGAGAGGGAGAGGGAAAACCTGTTTGTTTGAATGCAAGGGGCAAGTTAGGGGCAAGAAGAAGGTTAGGTAAAGGTGAAGCGACATCATCAAAACAATGGCGTTGTTTTGGTGTTGATGAAGGGTTCGTGCAGAGTTCATGGAGAGATGGCTAAAGAGGTGTAAGGTGTGGGCAAAATGGCACTGAAAGAGGCTTGAGATCAAAACAAGAGGAGAAATATTCACAACATAAGCGGGCGAAGTCTTTATCAGTGCCTAAAAACTGGCTGCGCCTGTCAGTCAAAGGCAGGCGTCCCCCAACCACCTCCCTCCACCCAATCTCTGGAAACACTGTAAGAGAAAATAAAAACACAATGAGGAAGCAAGAGGGAAAAAAGGTCCCTCAATCCAGAGGCTGTCATAGTGCATATTGCCTGATAACAGCAGGAATATTTCTGTTTGGACAAAGAGAGGAGGGGTGGCAGTGGTGGAGGAGGAGGAGAAA